TCAATTAAAATCTTCTTAGCTCATGTTTTCAGTCTGTCTTGTTTACAAATAAATGCTTTTAAAGCTGTAAAATCCCCTATGAAGGTCACTTCAGAATCATTTATGAACCAGAAAAAGAGCATCTGTGCTCATCTATGTAAGAACAATGTATAGTAATAAGATTGCAAAAACTAATCCTCCATCTATTGTTTAAAAATCTCAGAATATTTAAAATTAAACAAAAGCAGAAATGCGTGAGTATAGATACACAGTTTGCTCATAGTCCATGTCTGCATCCCATTTTATATAGTGAGGTACTGAATGTTCAAATCACCACAGCAAATTGAACAAAGCACATATAAACAATTTCTGAAACTTATAAACCGCACCGATTTTCACATTCACCAATGAACGTTTCTAACCCAAATTAAAGTCCCACAGAAAATGAATTTCAAAGTGAGAATGGCTAATGCTAATTTTCACAACATATGATATAGATTGATTTTTCCTTTAATCTTACTAAAACTTCTCCTTATCGCTTGCTATCACTTATGATGAAACAAATTGTGTGTAGATGTGGCCAAGTCTATGGTAAGAAATTTCCTTCCTCTTGGTTTTCACTGGAATTGCGATCCTAAAAAAAAAAATGTCACAAGTTCTCTTTTAACCTTTCTTTCTAGAACTGAGAAATTTCCTATAAACGTGCAGCCTGCTGTGGACTTGGTCAGTTAAACGTACTCTGAAGTGTGAATAAGAAAAAGATTTTGTAAAAAGAGCATCAGAAACCAGTAAAATAATTAATTAAAAGAGTAATTAAAGAATTCATACTTAAATCCTTATAAGAAGTAAACAAATATTTATAAATGTGATGATGCAATGATGTGTTAAACCTTCTGTCATTTCAAAGCTGACTATAGCCATCTGGTCACATTGCCTGGATTTTCTTCAAAAAATAATCTTTTTATGGCATTAAAAAGTTAAGAACAAAGTTAAAATCTAATTAATAAATTAGAAAATCATTAAATACTAATTTATACACTTTTACTATTCAACACAATTTCACATTTCAAATTATCACGTATTTCCACTTGATCAAATTGTTTTTACATCAAATAACCAGGAAGGGGAACACAGGTACAGTGGGGCATAATACCCAACACTTTACATATTTTCACAAATAGAGTGGCTTTGTCATCATTCACTTATCCACTTTCCTGGTATGCCTACTAATTCTGGCAATATGGTCAACTCCTTCCAATTGAGCATCTCAGGAAGTTTATGCATCAGCTTATATTTTCTTGTAATTTCAATTACATACCTGCCTCGCATTTGATTTTTTTTTTTTTTTGAGGAGAATCTCAGTGGTGGAAATTACTATCCTCTGAACTTGTGCCCAGACTTTTGCGGCTGAAACAGAGTATTTAAGAAACCAACAGGAATGTGTCTTAGGAGACAAGAAAGCTCTACATTTATTCTATGTTGAGGTTGATAAAGTCCATCAATGGTGAAAAGAAGAAATAATCTTCGAAGATATTATATAGAATAACTTGGTAACCAGAAAAGCTGGGAAAGAAGGGCTTGAAAGGTTTCTGAAGTTTGACTCTGGGTGATTAAATACAGCCATCAAAAAAATGAACAAGATTGGAAAAGACGTTATTTATTGTAGTTTAAATACCTGGAGACACAGCTGCTTCTCATATATTTTGGAATATATTTCAGTTACTATGTTTATTAAGCAAATAGCAAAAGCTGAATATGTAATGAATTTATGAATCAAGGAAGGAAGGAAGGAAGGAAGGAATGAAAGATAGAAACATTGTGTCAAGAGGAACTCCATGGAAAATGTCTTGCATTTTGATTATTTAACTGTCATTGCAGCAATATTTTATGGTTTATCAAATGTTGGTGCTAGACTGTCTTTTCAAATCTATGAAAACCCTGAGAATATATATTTTTGTCTTCATTTAACCAAAGAAAACAATGAAGATCAAGAAGCCTTTTCAAAGTTACTCACTTACCCAGCAGCAGAACCAGCACTTTGAGTGGTTTGTTACAAATATACGAAAAGAGTCCAGGAGAGGGATTGATTCAGATGTCACAGTTAAAAAGCAAGACAGTGCAAGAATTTAACAATGAAGACACTATGGAAAAAGCAAAAGAGCAAGAACCCACTTTTAAAGAATAGAAGAAAAGGAGGGACATGAAGAGGAATGTTTCAAGAGTAGAAATTAGCCAAGAGTGTCCTGATGTCCATGTATATCAGAGAGGATGTTTCAGTCACAACCAACAGAAAATCCCACTTTGCTACTGAAGCAATAAAGAGAATTTATGGTCTAACATAACTGAGAAGTCAGGATCACTCAGGCTTTAGCTAGAGTTTAATCTGGACTCTTCCGTGAGTCTGTTTTTTCTGACTTATTTTTAAAAAGTGTTTTGATGTCATTCTTGCTGTTCTCAGCTTAATTGGGATATAATTGACAAATGAAAATTTTATATATCTAAAGTCTCAATGTTTTGATTTATGTATGTTGTGAAATGATCACATCAAACTAATTAATATTTTTAACACCTTACAGTTACCTTTTTTCTTTTTTTGTTGTAAGAAAACTTAAGATCTACCAACATAACAAATTTCAAGTATACAATTTATCTGCCTTCTTGCATGTATTATTTCATCCTCAGTTTGCTTCTCTGGTATTGGAAAAAAATAGCTTTAATTATTTCAACCTTTATACCCCACACTGTAACATCCAGGAGAAGAAAAAGCATCTTTTCCTCCACCATCAAACCCAAGAGACAGACTTCACATAAACTGCCACCTTAGAGCAGATGCCTAGCCATGAACCATCACTCTAAGCAAGAATAGTGGGATCTATATGATGATTTGGCTTAAATTGCAAGTTACTTGTCTGTCCTTTAGTCTATCACATTGTCATAGATACTTTCTCATAAGTGCATTAGGCTGATCAGAGACCAAAACTACCGATGAGAGTGTAGTCAACCAACCAAAAACCACATGGCTGCTTGCAAGGTTGATAAGGTAGATTGGAACCTAGAGAAGTAACCAAGCAATCTAATCCAGGCAGAAAGATTGCAGTGGCCCCTCTGTTTGTTCTCCTCAACCCCATAATTTTCACTTTCCGCCCCCCCCATCTCAACTTTATTTTGCAAACATTTCTACATATACAGCTGCTACTACCTGCACTAGATTCACCTGGATGTTCTCCCTGCCCTGAGCCTCCTCTCCCAACTCCATAAACAAATTGGAGACAAGTCCTCTCTCTTAGTTTAACCCAAATAAGTTGCTATACTAAGAAATTAAGGTAGATACAGCGAACAATGAAAACAGTAAACTACGGAATCAGTTTAGAATAGCAAAATTTTCAAGCTCAGAAGTCAGTGATGATCTTTCTCTTCCCACTACTTTATACTCAATGTGTCCCTGCTGCTCAACAAGTGCTTAAGAACTATTTGTGGAATTAACTAGTGAATTCTAAAGTAATTGAATTCTCGTCATGGATATCTCAATTCACACTGCCATTTGTGCTTATTCATCAGAAAGTGTCAATCTTCACTCCACAAATTCTGTATTTGTGAATTTACCTACCTGATAAAATTTCATCGTAACCCCAAATCAATACTTACAATGCTTTTACCATCATTCATGGACCTGTGCAGAGTGGCACATAATTTGAGTCAGCCCCTCACATGTTCCCTCTGAGGCTGAAGAAGATGATACCCTGCTTTCTTGTTTCAGTTCTCACACTGTGAACAAGTGTCCCTTTTAAGGTCTGTTTAGTGCCACATATTTCACATTTTTGTGCTCTTTGTTGGTGATTTTGATGTTTAAATAGCACTGAGTGCAGAAGAGCTGTCTAGTGTTCCTATAAACAAGAAGACTGTGATATCCCTTAAGAGAAAATGCATATGTAGATAAACTTTGTTCAGGCTATGAGTGCAGTGTTAATAAATCAACAGTGTAGTAAATCCAGAAAAAAAGAAGAGGAATTTGCTGACCTGTATGTGGAGCTGCTCAGAAAGTGCTAAAGTAACATCTACAATGCTATGAGGAAGCTAAAAATTGAAAAGGACCTACATTTTTGAGTTCATGATATGACGACTATTTTTATTTGTTTATTAAAGCATAGTGGAGGGGCAAAGTTGTGTTGCTAAAAGTAAGAAAAAAAAATTACAGTCACTTTACCCAGGGTCAGGAAAATGTCACATACTTCTTGGCCGGTGTTTTATTACAACAAAAAATACTATGTATAATAAATTATTTGAAATTATATATACCTTAAATAAGATGTTTTAAACAGAAACACACATAAAACAGTTCTGTATTCATAAGTTCACAAAAATGTTTTGACCAGAGGCTCGCAGAAACCTAACCCTATATTTCTCCTAGAAGCAATGGCTCCACATTCACTAACTCAATGTTCACAGTGTCTTTAACACAACATCCATGAATAGAGAGAATGTGCTGTATGTACTCCTCGATCTCACTTCAGTCCTGACTACCAGCACTCTAGTTCTCTTCTCTTAACCATCTTTTTCTTTCAGTGGCACACTTACACTGCTACCTCTCAGGCATATTACTGCTACCTCTCAGGCATCACTTATATCAGAGTTTCTCAAATTTTAATGCACCTATGAATCCCCTCTGGTTGTGCTAAAGTGAAATTATGAATCAGTAACACTGAGGTGAGGTCCAAGATTCTAGATTTTTTAACAACCTCCAAGGTGATAATTCTGCTGCTTGTCCCTAAACCACACTAAAGATCAAGGGCTATATTCTGCCTTCTTCCTTTTGTGTAAGATACTTGGAGCAATAGTTTAATACCATTAGGTCTCTACAGTTAAATCATAACAATGGTTGGAGGCTAAATTGTTTTTCCTCAGGGGGTCAGAGAAATCACAAAGAAAGTAACAAAGTGTGAAGACTTTTAACAAAAAGAGCATGAAATGTCTCAACTACTACAAACCTGTCAGAAAGGTAAAGAATAAGGAAAGACTATATATTTGGCATAAATTCAACACAGGTTTTTAATGAGAAAATATTACATGCATTTAATAAACTCTGTCAATGATATCATATTAAAAAGACATGAACTTTGCTCTCTTGAAGCTTAACATTACAAAGGTAAGAGGGACATATATAGCTGTAACAAAGGCTAGAAAGAAGATTTAGCAAGGTACACTGCAAGTGCGATAGTTCAGATACTGTTTCCACAAGTGCATCAGAAGGAAGTGACATCTGAAATAGGCTGAATATCCATTAATTTTTGAATATGTAGATGTTGCTATGATCTCATTTTATCCAGAGTTAAAATATGAGTTTTAAAATCTCAGACTTCAGGTCAAAAAAAAAAAAATTCCTGCAAAATTACATTTAACTTGTATTAACAACTAATCATTAAGAATAAACATACAAAAAATAACAAAAGTATACAAGAAGAGTTGAAAGGACATCATCACCACGCTGCGTCCTGAGTCCCTCAGCAACTGGAATCTCATTCCGAGGGAGTAAGTGTGAGAGGAGGGTCACAGTGTGTCCTAATAAGAACAGAGATGGAAGTGAGATTTGCATGAGATGGAGGTGAGATTTGAAGAGTAAAACAAACAATCTAATTAAAAAATGGACAGAAGAACTCAACAGACATTTCTCTCTAGAAGACATACAAACGATCAACAGAAATATGAAAAGATGCTCAGCTTCACTAATTCTTAGGGAAATGCAAAGCAAAACCACAATGAGATATCACCTCACACCTGTTAGAATGGCTATTATCAACAAACAAGTATTGGAGATGTTGTGGGGAAAAGGAAACCTCATACACTGCTGGTGGGAATATAAATTGATATAGCCACTATGGAAGACTACTGTATGAAGGTTCCTCAAAGAAATTAATAGAATTACCATATGACCCGGCAATCCCTCTTCTGTGTATCTACTTCCCAAAATTGAAAATATATTATCTGTAAAGATATATGTACCCTGATATTCATGACAGCATTATTCATGATAGCCAAGACATGTACACAACTGAAATGCCCTTTGATAGATAATTGGATAAAGAAGATGTGGTTCATACATATAATGGAATGTTACTCAGACATAAGGAAAGATGAAGTACTGCCATTTGTGACAACATAAATGAATCTTGGGATTATCACGCTAAGCGAAATCAGTCAGACAGGAGAAGCTGAGAATCATATGATTTTACTCATATGTGGGATATAAAACTGAAAGCAACAAATGAACAAGACAGAGACTTGTAAACACAGACAATAGTTTAATGATTACCAGAGGGAAACGGGGAGGAGATAGATAAGAGTAAACAAGGTCAAATATATGGTAACAAGGAAATTTAACTTTGGGAAGTGAACACACAATTCAATATACATGTGATATGTTATAGAATTGTGTGCTTGAAAACTATATAATTTTATTAACCAATGTCACCCCAATTAATTTAATTTAAAAAAGAGGTAAGAGGACTGGGAAGAGGAGAACTGAGGACAGAAAGAAAAAAAAATAGGAAGACGAGTAAAAGGTTGGTAACAGAGCAAGAAAGATGGACAAAAAGCACTCACCAGCGTTTCCTAAGCCAAAATGCAAGACCTGCCAGAAGCACCAGGAGCACCATCACTGCCAAGATAATCAAGCCCATGGACTTGAGATGCTCTGTGGGTTTATCTAGATAAAAGGATGTCATTTCAAAACCACTCCCTGTTTAGTACATTTACCTGGTATTACTTTTTTTGTTTGACTGTCTACTTCACCATGCACCTTTCTTCCTATTTCTTCTCTCATTCCTCTTCAGGGATGAATCATTCACCTAACTCTCAAAATTCTCCCACATATGCGGGGTCTCTAATTTTAAACTCTTTTATTTCTTGAATTAATTACGTTCACTCCTTTTGGTCTCGAGTCCATAAATCCCCAATTTTTCATTTGCCTCTCCTGCTCTGCTTGAGGACCACCTACTCCCATTCCCAATTGGGCCCCAGTTCCTCCTTACCCAAGTAGAGGATGATGTCCTTGCCTCCTAGACTGCTGTGTCTCACTCGGCAAGACAGGCCAGATGTCTCAATGGTTTCCACATTCAAGTAAATCCTGAGATACCATGTCCCATCAGCATTGGGCAAGACATCCCTTCGCTGAGTGCCTTGTTGTACCTGCTCACCTCGCATCCACATAGCCCAAATCGGCTTTGGGTAGAAGCCAGAGACATGACAAATTAGCATCCGATGGTCAGAACCAGGATTGAGGCCAATGGACAGCCAAGCCTCTGGCCTTACTGCAGAGAACAGGAAAGATATTCAGATGAGAACTCTAACACAAAATTGGAGGTTTGCAGCTTCACATCAGTTTAGATAAAGACATCTTTCCCACTCTAAAAATCCATCACCCATTATTCCTCTTCTTCTTTGCTCTTTTTTATCCTCAATTTGAAGGGAATGGTGGGAAGGTATAGAATAGAAGGAATAGAAAATTCTTGGAGGGAGGGTATGGGACTGACCTTGTCTCTGGAGATCTGCCTTCCCTGCATCAAGTAGACCCAAGAGAAAACGTGGACAAGTGTCACTGAGGCGTTCATGTGTTATTTTCTTGCCACCCTTAGACTGATTAAATAGTCTGCACACCTGCTGAGCTCTAGTTCCACCCTTTGGAGATGGCAACCATGAATCATTCTGGAAGCTCAGGAGCTCTGATCCTTGATAAGCAAACCACACAAAGCCTTCCTTGGCTTCCCCAGAGTGCAGCTCACAGCCTGTTGCCATCTGTACCACAAAGGGATCTGGAGAAGAAGGGTTATGAATTAGAGGGAAGAAAGAGTAAAAATAATTAAACAAGTGGAAGCAAAAGAAGGAAGTATAAGGGAGTAGTCGGAAGGTTGAGGCAATGGAAAAAAGTTTAGCTTGATCAGAGTTTCAGAAAAGGGAGAATTGGTGGTAGTTGGTTGTGGAGAAAAAAAAAATGGCATGAGGGAGGGGGCAAATTTTTTTTGAAGAAGGTGATAAATGGTGAGGGCAAGAGAATAAGGAAAGACTTAGTATGAGGGAGTTGTGATTAAAATAATCTAGGGTGAATGGAATGCAATGAGTTACAATAAATGTATAGACAGAGATTGCTGAAGAGACTGAATGGGGAGGAAATTGGAGTAAAAATATCATTGAGACATACACACCCCACCCATATCTGACCTCCCCATTTTGGGAATTGAACTCACATTCAAACTTCCATTGGCTGGCATAGTTGTGAAGTATGTGATACAATTCAATGTGGAATCTGCGGAAAAATCCTTCCTCTTCTGTTATCTCCTTCTTGCTGAAGTTTCCCTTTGACCAAGGCCTCAGGAAAATGATTCTGCCCGAGTTGCTCTCCCAGCTATGAGTCTGCAAGTCTCCCAACCAACCCGAGCTCCAACTTTGTGTCCAGGAACGGTTGTAAAAAGATGAGGTGTAGATGATTTGGAAGATCTGCTCCTGGAAGACTATTGCAAAAGAACAGATAAATTGAGAAAGAAAAAAAAAAGGCATCAGAAAGGAGAGAATGGAGAAAGAAACTTGCCAGAGAGGGAAACTCAGAATCTGGAGGAAAGGGAAGCCATAGTTACCTCAGCAGACATTTGCCTGCCCCCAGGGCCCCACGCTTTGTATACAGACTTCAGAAGTGCAGAGTCCTGGAGTCAGGAATGCTCAGAATGGAACTATGCTGACATTCGCGCGCGTGTGTGCGTACACACACACACACACACACACACACACAAACACACACACACACACTTGCACCCAACTGGGCAGTGTCCAGAGTTCTTACCATCTTCATTGTTACCACCTGGCAGGAGAACTGCTAGCAATGGAAGTTGCAGAAACAGCATTTCATTTACAGGTGTTATTTCTTCTCTCAGAAAAGTCTGTCTTTGATTTCTGTTTTAAACAAACCTACCCCACAACACCTCTATTCTGACTTCCTTCTTCTACCAACAGACAAACCTCCCGGTTAGTCACTGCCTGCAACAAAACAATTTTTTTAAAAACGTGCTCCTTCCCTAAACCTTGGACTGCCAACTCAGCCTCTCATTTCCTCCCTGGTCTGACTCTCCTCTCTGGCTTTCAGCTTCTGCACTTGTCACCAGCCTCCATTCTG